ACCAAAATAAGAAAAACACCCACGGCAGAGCTTTTTAGGTAAGATGGATCCAAATCTGATGGGAGGGATCCCACCCATGGGACCGAGCTCCCATCGTCCCCTTCAACACCATTCCCAGAAGGCTCCTCTGTTCAGAAATTACCTAAAGTAGAAGCAAACACAGAGAAATTAGCCTCCCTTTCAACCGCCGTTAGCACCAAGCTCAAACCAAAGAAAAACCCCTCCGCCTTCAACACCAGAACCACACAACCAAAGACCTCCTGTTTCTAACCTAAACCCACCTATTTAAACCCAAACACCAAAAACCCTAAAAACCCTAAAAAGAACATTCTAGAATCAATCTCTCCGAGCCCTTTGGATCCACGGTTTTTGGGCTCTTCAGATCTGTTTCCTGAATCTGCAAGGCATTTGGGCCTCTCCGATGTTGATCCTTTTTACAAAAAAATATGGAAATGCACTTGGGCCTTCATCCACGCCCAATCCACTCTACCGTCACCCACCCGCAGCTCGCATAGATTTGGTTTGCAGATCTGTTTTAGTTGGATGACGATTGATATTTCGCCGAGTCGCTGGGGCTTCGCGTGCACATCACCGCCACCACCAATCAATAGATCCAGCTCGATTTGCTCTTGTTTTGCAGTTTACTCGCCGGGATGGTGGGTGGTGAGCCACGGGAATGATTGGGAAGGTATATTGATCGCCGGCTTCCTTTTTGAGAAATGGCTATCGGTTGTTCGGAACACTTGCCGGCGTCGACGGATCTAGAGAAAACTGAGCCTGCATGGAGGATGATCCGGGTGATGAGGGAGAGAGAGAGAAAGCCGAAGGTGCATGAGGGGAAGAGGATCGAAGTGGCTTTGGCATGGAAAGAAGCTCAGCGGCTGGTGACTTTGGCAAAGGGTGGCTGTCGGTTGGTTTTTGGGGAAAAGGCCGGTTCGAGAAAGAGAAAATGGTATTTGACTAAAAATGGAGAAGATTTGGCAGAAAAGGCTTCTAATTCTTTTCTTTTCTTTTTTTTGGGAAGGTTGGTTTTTTTTTTTGTTTTTTTTTTTGGGTTTGGGTTGAACTTGGGTTTTG